ACCTTTACTCACGATCGGGCCTCTTAATCGCGTCGTGAAACCGCGCGCGGAATTTCACACGCGCGCTCTCGCACCGCTCGCACGCTCGCTCGCTCGCGACTGAGAGATCACGCACTCGTCGTCCCGCCGTCGTCGTCGTCGTCGTCGTCGTCGTTGCCGCTCGTCCACCTGTGCCACGATGTGTACGACCTATGGCTTCCTCATAGTGGGGAGCCCGTGGTCGCTTTTGCAAGAGAACGCGCGTCTATCACGATAATCACGCGCCGCCGGATTGGGTACCGCATTGTGAGACCACGACGGCCCGCATTCGCGGCGCGCGTGTTTAACGCTTAATCGCGGTCGCTTAGGTCTCGAAATTAGACTCGTGGAAACCTGTAATCCTCCCGCGGCTCTCAAATTGAATTCGACACGTCGCTATGTTAATCCCGGAACACATCACAACCGAAGGCCGAAGGAAACGTACGACTCGAAGAGTCGCGTTTCGTCGTTTTAACAACGGAATTTTCCAACGCGCGAATTTGTATCCGATCGACTAAAAGGAAGCTGAAATTGCTTAGAAAAAAAATTAAAATTATTTGAAAATTAATATATATGAAAATTATTAGTGACTTTTTACTTTGAATCGAAACATCAGTCGCACATTCTGTTCTTGCTCTTCTGAAAAATGTAAAGTTTGAATTGCCTATTTCGCCCGAGATGTTGTTCCACGTCTAACTTTCTCGACGAAGCTTTAACGATGAAACTTTGCAATTATTGCCACGACATACCATACGAGCTTAAGTTGGCGAAGCCGCACGACTTACCTGGAGAATTGGAGCGACGTGTTGAAGCGATATCGCCGGTTGTTCGCGTTTGCAACGTTATGCGGTCCCGTCTGAGGCGCGTTATCGCGTGCATACGCGGCTCAGCCATGCAAACGGTATCTTTTTTTTCAGCTCTCTTTCAGGTGGAACCAGAAGAGAGCCGCTCGACCGCGCGACAAAATGCAAAAGTCGCTCGGGTTACGTGCGAGACTCGATCTCGCGCCGCTTCAGGCACGCGGGAGTTGAAATCGAGTACAAGTTTCGTTACGACAGTCGAAATTAGCGATTTTAATTCCATAAATTCCGCATTCCGGTAACAGGCACGATTAATTGATCGCAGCTTAAATGTCACTTCACGGAAGAGTCGCGGAACTCGTTTCCCCTTATTCGCGAACGCTCGCCCGTGTTACTTTTACTCTGCACACCTCAATTTTTCTGTTTGAATTTACCACCTGGACTTATACCACACAAGCAGCGCTCCAGAATGAACCAGAATAAAATTGCGATAACAGATTTGCCGCGGAATATATATATTGAATAACAAATATTTAAAAATCTGATGAGATTCAGATCTGAAAAAAATTCTTTTGGATTATCAAAATGATTTTGTAGGATGTTTAAATTGATTGCTGGAATATAAAAGATTTTTGCAATTTTTTTCCTACATAAGTCTGATGATCCAACAAAATTATTTTCAGATATGAATTCGATCAAACTTATAATAATCAAAGTCGATTTTCTTTTCGCAATAGAAAATGTAGAGACGCCCGATAAATTTAAATAATTAACATTTACGAAAATAAAGAGATTTTGTAAAATTGTTGTAAAACATTTACGATGTGAGCAAGCGATATATAATTTTGTCGATTATTTATATCCTTCAAACGTCAACTTGATGATTATTATTCGAAGAACGTTGCAATTATTCGTCGTCTTCTTCATCGTCGGTTTCCTTCAACCAGCGAATACTCGTCTAATCAAAAATCTATCCTTCGAGCAAGGAATTGCGATGACTCATTCTTTAGAAAAAAAATGTTGCATCGTGAGACTCATTGTGATTCGCATTTTTGATTAAATTATTATTCCCATGACCGGATGATCGAATTTCTTCATCACAAATCATTTTGATTTATATAATAAGCTTGAAATTTTTTTCTTCGTGATCAATTAAATTTGTGTCAAATTTTAAACTTTAAAAAGGAGCATTTGCTCTCTAATTATTCATATATCTATTTTATAATAATTTTAATTCTCTTTGAACTAAATAACGTTTTTAGTAACAAGTAAAATATTTTCATATTTCATATTTTTTCAGACATATCCAACATTTTTACTACAATACAATTAATTACGTCAAAAATTATTCACGTAATTCTTTATTTTAATGATAAGCTTTCTGAATAAATAAAATTCCAGCATTTATAAATAAATTTGTGCAAATAAGATAAATCATTTTTATTGTGTTAATAAATAAAGAGAAATTTCTTCATATAATTTGCAGCTTTTTTTATCAATACACTTGGTTACTCCGAGATAAAAAGAAAAATGCAGTTTTATAGCTTTGACAAATAACAAATATTATAATAAATCAGACCTCTTTTTTAAATATTATTGTGAAATGCAGCAAAGGATAATTTTTCTTCGAAAGTGTCTATTTTAGATATATGCCGTAAATCATAAACATACTTTGCTCTTGCTGCGAGCAACCTCATTGCTGGGCATCTGAAGAAAGGAAGAGCCGAACGACTCAAAAAGTAGTCTTGAAAGCTGATCGCCATTTAACAGAGAATTTCCAATGGCGAAAGTTGAAACTTCGACTTTGGCGATTTAAACTTGAAACTTTAAAAACAACCATAAATTTCCTATTAAAAATGCAAAAACACAGATCGAAAATATTTACAATACATTAATATATATATAACTCTTAATAATAACCGGTTTATTGATATTCTAGTAGCATTACACGAGTTTACTTTTAAATTAACAAGAGGCTGTCGCTGATAAAGTTGACGCTAAATCAAAGTCAGAATTTTAACTTTCGCTATCGCAAATTTGTTGCTAAATGGCGATTGGCTTTTATCGATCTGATTTTAGAGTCCTTTGACTCTTCTTTTCTTCTAGTATTCATTAAGAGCTATCGAAGTATATTTACAATTTACGGCAAGGTGAACTTTTGAGGAAAAATCTTTCTTACGAAGTCAGGTTCGGCATGTAGCGTTTCAAACCGGAATGAAGGTTCGTGAAAGTAGCTGAACTACCTTTTTCTTAAAGCTAGTGTAATTAAATATTTATGAAAATACTTCTTACTCTATAAAATTATATTTAAAAGACATGTTTAATAACGTGATAGTTCGATTTAGATATTTATTTGCACAAATTAATATCGTGTGAATTTTGTCCATCCAAAAGGTCGCTTTGGTCGAATATAAAAAATTATATGACTGAGTCTCTGAACAAAATTAATTGCGTTAAACAATAACATTAAACAACATTAAACAATGTCAGATGACATATGAAGAAATTACATTTTCTTATTTATATTTATAAATACTGGATTGTATGTATATAACTTGCAAGATTATACGAGCCAGATGTTTGAAGGGAGCACCGTGTTGCGATACAACGTGCACAATCTATCGAGTTCTAACCGAACTACATGAACAGCATATCAGCTCGTTTCAAATTTTTAAAGATATAAACAAAATCGCTTTGCTCCAACAATGTAAGATACGCAATATCATATTGATTGTTTTCAACTAACAAATTGCAGATAGCGGCAAAATATCAGGAAAAATTACGTCGATCACGTTATCTCGAAAAAGTGTCACTTTTCCTGTAGTTGTAACACTCGATCGCATTACACAAGAAACTTTCGCAAATTTCTAATCTGCAACCTGCCAATCTTTAAGTACGATCTGATACCGCGATCTCGCGTTACATTTTCTTTATTTATCGTAACAAAATGGATTTAATCGTCAGCTTTCATAGCGTTTTAAAACACACGTAATGTATCAAGCTAACAAAATCAAAGAGAATTTTGTTCGAGTAAAAGCAAAGTAAGTTTTTTTTAGCGGATACAAAAAGATAAAAAAAATTCTTTTATAGCATGGAACGAAAGCTTTTTTATTCGCGACGTCGAGGCTTTGTTCTCTATTTTTTTTTTTTTTTTTCGGTTGCTGGTTAATAACAAGTTCGCAAGCTACTTTTGTCGCGACGGACGAGCCGTCTCTTCGTCTCTTTTTGCATTTAACGGAATCGGTTCATCGTGGGAAGGTAAAATTGCGCCAAGTGGAGGACGCTAGGATAATTACGAGCGCCGGTAGTGTCTTTTACGTAATCGCGCGCCGTCAAGATGTCGCGAACGTGGGTATAATGATAAAAGTGCCCGAAGAACGACGACCGGTGGAGCGGAACGGCGCGCATTGTCTTCGTTGGGAAGGCATTATCGCGGACGGTAGTTAATAACCGGTGTACGTGATAGCGAAGATACACCGGGTGTCGATCTCAAGACTCATTCGCGAATTATACGCCTTGTCGTCTTGGATCTATTTGCATCTGCAATAGTTACTTTTAGTATTACTTTAAGTATTCATAATTATTTAATTAAGCAACGATTTTATTTTATATTCTTCTAATTAAAAAAATTGGCTACGAGAACGAAAAAAAAAACAACTTTTGTAACTTTCAAAAATCTAACAAGTCTAACATAAATAAACAATAGGTTGATTTATGACAATACAATGACTTTTTATTTATGATATGAATATGTAATGATAATAATAATTATTATCAAATTACCAAAACTTAATTGCGATTCGAGAGAAGCGCTCTGTACTAGTGCACTTTTTATTTATAAATACGCTGCGAAAAATTAAAGTTATGTGACACTCATAAAAATATTTTTTCTAGCGGTATGAGTGTAAAACGAGAAGCAAAGATTCAATCGAGTTAATGCGTGTCGGCGAGCTCAAGATACAAACGCACGCGAAAAAATACAGGTCACAATACATATTCATCCTGACCGCGATTTGCTCAGTGTTTTTGTAATAATAACAATGCAAGAGTGGATCTAGACGTCTAATTCAATTCTCGTAACTCATAAAAGTTTAGAAACGAGAAAATTAAACAGTTCTAATTGTGAGAAGAAACTAATTTAAATAAGAAATGAAGCTGAACAATCGCAGATAGAATACTTACTCGTGAGAGACACTTCCAGGCAGGTAGCCAATCTAGTTAAAGCGGCGGTCAACGGGGGACGGTGTTCTTCCAGAAACTTGTCATCTGCATTAATGGGCGTTAATTAAAATTCTGATTTTACGCTAACGCTCGCTGTCAATTATCATTACATGCGATAATTCGCCTACACTCGGAATCCTCGTAGAGCCGATCGATCGGCGTGTCATCCACGTTTTCAACGAGGCCGTCGACTATCTTCTCGACAAAATTTCGGACCGCGTGTACCATGCGCCTCTCTTCCCGATCCTCCAGATTCTGCTCCACATTCGCGGCTGCATGTCCTGGAAGAGAAAACAACTAGAGTATCCTTAAAAATGTTCTTCCTCATTTTCAGTGCTCGAAGGCTTCGCTCAAAGCAATTCGAGTCTTACTTCTGCTCTCGTCTTACTTATTAAAAATCAAAATTAAATAAGGGTAAATTAACGTGTTAATGTGTTTACCAAACTTACGTTACGTTACAAAATTGTCATGTTCGAATGTCACGTTCGTACAATTATACGGAGTCATGTCCCTTCCGCGTTCGATTTATAAGTGTCACGTTTCGCGTTCTCGATATCGCGGAACTACTCGAGGCTTCGCGTTGCCATTGCCGTCACTTCTCCTCAAATCACACAACCCGTCCGTCCGCCGGACGAAGAAAAGTCGCTTTCTAAATCCTGGACCGTACACCACCGCGTCTCTCCGTTAGATTGCACGCGCTCTTTCCCGATCGAGCGCGTTGATATCGCGATTCACATGGCGGATCACGCGGCGCGCACCGAACAATGAGCATCACCATCGTGAGAGATTTTTCGAAGCCGTTCTTACCGTTCAGTCCTCCCTCCGTTATGCGCTTTTCTGCCTTGGAACAAGGACGGACGTTCGCCGATCGAGGATAGAACGGCACATATGAAATCGGCAAGGAAATACGCCGAACGTTCCGGTACACTTGCAACGCCGTCGACGCGTCGCAAGCGTTAAAAATATTTTTGACTGAACACTAAAAGTTTTATGTACGATCCTCTGGGCACACACACACACACACACACACGCGCGCGCGCGCGCGCATAATTACCTGCAACGTAGACTCGCGATTTCGCGGTGCCGAAGAAGCTGTGCAGCTCCTCCTCCTCGTTCGCCGTGCCGCCGAAATTGTCGAACCACTTGTCATTCCTCTTCAGCCACGCTCTGTGAAGAATTATAAATTTTTTTCCTCTCTCAACAACAATATTCTTATTTAAAATTCTTGATGAATTTCTTAATGCTCATTGAAGCTTTTATTGAAATAGAGATAGGAGGGACTATGACAAATTTTATTTATGAAATGAGTGAAGGGTGAAAATGAAGTAATATTGTAGGGAATATGAATATGTATTATTGAGGAGACCTTTGTTGATGACAGAATATGCAGTGCCAGGCATTCTCGGACGTGTCCCAACGCGAACAGGCCTTCCTGCAGGATCTGGCGCCGCAATCGCTGCAACGCACGCCGCGGCCGACTAGAAACGGTGCCAAGCAACAGGCGCAATGTCCGTCATCGACGACCACCCGTTTCGTTCCTCTCGAGTTCTTCGAGTTCTTCCTAAATTTTTTTTCTTTATAAATCAAAATGCTAAAAGTCGAGGAGGCAGAAATAAGTCATCATGTATTCGTGTATCGTGATAGTTACTCAGACGTTAAGTTTAGATCTCCGAATTAGATCTTTGTTATTGATTATGAATTGATCAATGTTATTATCAATGATCAAGCAGTGTTATTCGAATTTGATATTGTTTTTTACCGTCAATTGATTTTGCTTTAGTAATACATAGACAGAAATTGTTACAAATTAAGATAATCAATATTAATTTGATATTGATTCAGCTCAGTTAAAAATATATTTCAGTTGTTTAATATTATACAGTATACATTGGAGGAATATACGTTGGAGGAGTTGCACAAAATAAGCAGCACATTAAATGTGAATAAGGTTTATATTTCATGAACAATTGCAAAATTTGCAGCAAAAATATATTTATTATTTGCATAATATGGAATCCAAGAATAATACAGCCCAAGTAGAAGCCCAAGTAGAAGTCGAAACAACGAATTTGCAAACAATCTGATGAGTGATTAATTAAATTTATTTATGACATTGAAATTTTATGCAAATGTTTATAACAGAGGATGACGTGATCAAAAGTCATGTCACGTATAATAAGCAGTATTTGTAATAAAATAATCAGTATAGTCAAGGAATAATCCTGTGTAAAATATGCACAATAAAATTGCTCGAACTTATTATATTACGAAGCCACAGCGATCAACTCGAACTACGTATTCTAGGACACAGTTGTTACATATTTACAACGTCGTAACGGTACAAAATAATCACGCTTACTGTATATGCATGCACCAACTATTAACATAATGCGCATTTACTGTACAGGGTGTCTCGTAAAAGCGAATATGCGACGAAAATGTTATGCCTCGTTATAATTTTTTTATAGCAAAAATAAAAAATTCTTAATTTTTAAGTTTGAACTTTAAAATGTTTAAATTCGAGTTGCTGGTTCAATTTGAGGCGCTTTTATTTTTTAAATCGATGATTATTTGATAATTAGTGTTTTTAATGAGTATAATTACGACACTTAAATGTTAATTAAAGCGCACGAGAATCTTTTCTTCTTCTATTTTTTTTATAAAATTTAAAAAAAGAATTTTTTTGAAATTTTATAACATACAAAATTTGATTCATTTTCAGCGATTAATAATTATATCTTGGATTAAATAATTGCAGAAATAATATTTATCTAAATCAAAGAATAATTTTTCGAAAAATGTTTTAATTATAATTAATTATAATTTAATTATAATTAAAATTTTAATCATAATTTTATCAATAAAAATTTTGGCCAATATTTTTATTGAAGAAAGATCTACTTTAGATCGTTTAAGAGGAAATTCAGATTTATGGTACCCCGTATACGTGTATTGTTGAGGTATCATATTATCGAAACCTATAATCGGCGCGAACCAACAGTAATGAAAGAGAATGTAGTAGAAAGTACTTATAAATAGGTACAACGTACGATTTTATGCTACAATAGCACGCATTTCTAATTATTTTTTTCTCGGTCATCGCACGCACTTAATTAACGGTTATGTTTATTTGGAAAGTGGCAGAAGTCAAACGTGAACGTCATAAATCGACGCTGTCATTTCTTTCTAAACCACAACATGCGATACTGATGGTTGTCCCAATTCCAAGATGTTAAGGCTAAATATCATTGCCAGTTGATCGTCTTATCGGCCATACTATTTTATTTCTCTTTTATTTTTTCTTCTTTGAAATAAATAAATTTTTTATGGAAGATTAAATATGTCGTAGTAAAAGAAATATTTATTAATTTTATTATTAATTTATTTTATTATTAATTTATGTTACGAGAAGATTAGTATTAATTTATTGGTGTAAATGAAGGTTTTTAAACACCACTGTGCCACTTTCAAAATAGTTGAAATAATATAAATATCAGTTTTGTTCATTTGGCTGGCCCATTAGTTAATCTAATAATTAGTTAATCTTCACGATCGAAGAATACCGCGGCCGAGCTTATTGATGAGTGACTGTCCTCATCTCGTTCCATATCGGATGTCACCACCTTCACTACTACAACTTCGATGGTGATCAGGAGAAAAAGGACCATAAAAGTTGCCATGTTATACTTCTCCTGACCGGGTACGACTTTATCGCTCTCGATTAGGAGTGACGAGATCAAAGTGGAAACGTGGATCAACATGTTGCTGGTTGAAGAACGAGGGAAAATTTTCTCTAAGAGAGTGAAGACAACGCAAAACACTTACAAAATTATTCCTTTTTTTCTAATTCATTCTATCATGACTCATTCTAGTTAATTTTGATCTAGTGAATTTGAAATCCGATTACGCAATTTGTTCCGACTTTTAAATGGATAATTATCGTCCCTTTCTAAATCACATGGCACTATCAATTACTCGCAGGGATTTTATTGTGTTTACTTAATCACGATTTATCCAAGTCTACATCGATCGTTCTCTATCTATATAGTTCCTTATTTAAATCACAGCACCAATCACATCAGTGATTACGAAAGGAAAGATGTATTCCTCCGCCGATCATTTCCAACATACGTTCAGCCTTCGATGACTCCACCGTGAGAAAATTATCCCGGAGAATCCCGCGAAAATCAGGAGCGTTCTTCAGAATGCCACAATCGCGCAGACCTCGCGAATTAGTTCGCGAGTTAATGCGCGAAAGTTCCCTCGACCCTCTAATCTCTTATTTACGACGTCGGACGCGGTGATTCGGCGATTCCGCATCTGGCCGCGATGATCCTCGCTTTCCCCATCGACTTCCTCGGCTCGGTCGATCCGCGTTCCGGCATCCTCCCGCAGCCGCGACACCGTCCGCGGCCGCGGCGACGATCTCTTCTCGCGGCGCGTCTCGCGCGCGGAGAACGCGTTCTCGCGTTTCAATTTTGCCGGTTACGCGATCGGCGGCAGTGGCTTTTCACCGCGCGATCGGCGGCGGAAGTTACGTCGTTTTATGTAACGCCGCGCTGTACACGTCACGCGATCACAATCGAGCCTCGTTCGCGCTTTTTATACGTGTCCCATACGCGCACACGTGTTTAACTTGACATAAGTACATTACGCAAACACCGATTGCGAAACTATCTTTCTCTATCTTTTTCAATCAGAGGTCAGGTTTTCTTCTTTTCTCGGTTTCCTCTCGGATCTCTTTTTAATTTTGTGTTACCGCGCACTTGGCGCCAGTCGCGTCTTTTTTGCTTTTCTTGGTCTGCTTCACCGCTACCACACATGCACGCGCAATTAAACGCATTTATGCAATTCTGTTTTGATTACTTTTTGAGGAAACGATTTCAATTGCGCCTTTCTTTTCCTTTTTTTCTTCTTTCTTCACGTTTTTATCTTGAACTCGCTCCGCTTCTCAATATGGATTCCATTTTGTTTACCTGTTGCATTTAATAGAAAAAAAACTCTTTTTATTTCTTCCAGTTCTCTTAGATAATTTTATCAATTAAACTTTTCGATTTCTTCCCACCTTGTTTATCAATCCCGGCTCTATCCACTTCAATTTACATATTCTAAACAAGCTTCCCCTTTTCCTCGTGCTTCCTCTTCCTGAAACGAGTCTTCTGATCAGCTCTCTTGGCTAATTTTAATTATTTTTTTCTATCCTCTTTTTAATACACACCATTAATGTTCTCAATATAAAATGTCAGCTTCTCTTCTCGTCATTATCTCCTTCCTTTCGGCTGAATCAATCTTCCTTCTATTTTTAACGTACAATCAATTTATCGTGATATTTTAATCCTGCAGCTATTCAAACGCTGCACCTTCAATTTCTTCTTGCAATTGAAGATCCTTCTCTCTTACGTTTTTCCCTTTCACTTCTCTCGCTATTCCTCTTGCTATTCCTCCAGACAACCTCCAAGCTGATTTTTCTGCTTCTTTTCCCTTCCTTTCGTCTTCCTCTCCTTCGCTCTCCTCTTCTCTTCCTTTCTCTTTCTCCTTTTCTTCTCTCGTTGCTGCCGTTACATTACTTCACCTATGCGACCACGTCTCGGTAGTCCAAGGCACTTGATGGCACTTTTCTCGCCCTTAACAAGGAGGACAAGGAGACTCCGCCCCGATGTCGGGTGTCGGTAGAGTCGTAATTTAACTCGCGATGGTGTTGGAGATGCGAGTTCGGCCCGCGGTCAGACCGCAATGTATTAATTCACCGGGCATGCCATTTCCGGGGACCACTCGTGCCGCAGAACCGGCGCGATCGTATTCTCGTACCGGACTGTCGGCTCGAAAGTGACAGTGAACCATCGGTAGCCGGGGAAACTCAGGATCGCGCGGTTATGCGCGCCGATGGTAGGAGCCTCCGTCTTCGTTACATTCTCACGCTGTATTCCTTTCTCCTGCTCTCTCTCTCTCTCTCTCTCTCTCTCTCTCTCTCTCTCTCTCTCTCTCTCTCTCTCTCTCTCTCTCTCTCTCTCTCTCTCTCTCTCTCTCTCTCTCTCTCTCTCTCTCTCTCTCTCTCTCTCTCTCTCTCCTCCTCTTCGTTTTTTCTTTCTCCTTCCTCGTCGGTGACCCACGTCGCCGCCGATTGATAGAAACTTTCACTGGAATTTCGGCGGTCGCTGAAATGCTAAACGGCAGGATCGGCAGGACTGCCAGTCCTTATTTCCTCCTTTGTACCGCGTAATGTAGACGCGTTAATTTCAATGGATGTATGATGACGTTATGTTGAAAGAATCTTATGACGTAGATACACCGTGCATTCGAAATTTCGAAAGAAGTGATAATTAGGACAGCCACAGTCATGTTATTAGTTCGAGTTACTTTTTAAAATGAGGTTTATTTAGGTGTATTTGAGTTTTAGATAACTTTTGTCTCTTATAAAACTCTGTTGAACTCGTTTTTAAAGTTAGAGTTTCTTAAAACTCGTCTTTTAAAATTCGTTTTCTATTTAAAGAATTTTTTCCATGCTGAAAAGAAAGAGAGAGAAGAAAGAGAAACGGTAGAACAATACAATCGCAGAATGAAATTTAATTGTTCACTTAATTTTTCTTAAGCGATTTCTAGTATAAGTTTTAATTAAAGTTTGTGTTAATAACAGACCAAATATACGTCGTTAAAATTTACCAAGTTTGTAGAAAATTGTTTTGTCATTATTGCCTTTTTCATAATACTTAAAAAAACTTTGATTTTATAATTTAAATATATTTTAATTTAATACTTTTACAATACTTTTAATTTTTTACATTATTTACTTTTCCGTTACGATTATGAATAAAATGACATGACATGATAAGATTATGAAGAAATGACAGATTTTTATTATTTTTGTTGCAATTTATAGAAAGAAAATCGTAATAAGATAATAAGAATATTCTATAACGTCTTTAAAAATCTATTTTTATTAATGCATTTTTTTTATATTGGTCGATTTTGATGCAACTTTAATGCAAAGAGAATAGAATCTCTTGCTTTGAATGTTTTCTCATGTCTTCACATATGAAATAGACGCTTTGCAGATCCATCATGCGCTGCGGTAATCATATTACATCATCTATCATATAATTCCTCGCTTCTGTAATCGCTTCTTATTATATAATAAACACCTTTCCTATCCGAGCGAACATCGCCATATTCATTACACGGTGAATTTTACATCAATCTTTTTAATCGACTCTCGATATATTGTATAAAAAATACGTAAGTTACATATCTTGAATAAGGGAAGAAATGGAGAAATTGTAAAGAAAATCAATTTTTACAACCTATATAAATAACGAAGGTTCACAATCATAAAATAAATTACCTACATTTCGAATCTTTTTAGTAAAACTTAATTTTTATTCTTGTTACTTTGCATTGCCTTCTTCTTTTTGTTAAAGAAATTAGTAAAAAATTCTTCTCCACAAAAGAAGGTGTGGCGAAGTGTGGGACGTGTGCGGTACGATGGGAGGCAGTAAATTTATCAATGAGTTATCTTTGTAAGAAAGCACTCCTCCTCAGTTTATGCATAATTGAATAAGGATTTAACATTACCTCATTAGAATAATTTTGCAGTAATTATCGAGCTCCATCGAGTCATCGTTCGCACTTACCGTTTCTCTCGCTTTCTCCCGCAGAGGACCCTCAGAAAGAAATGTTTCATCGGTCGTTCAGCTTCAGCTCGGTCTCACAATGAATATCAACGCGAACGCCTCGCGCTATTGTCATCGAGTAAAAGTAAGAACGACGAACCTGTCCGTTTGATCTATCTGCTTTTCCAGCTTTGTTCTTCTCAATCAAAGCTGTCAAAGGTTTTTTTTTTATCGGCTTTGTCTCTTCCCCTGTTTTACTCTAATTCATACATATTTCATGAGACTCGCACCTTACTTTTCACTTGTTTCTCTTTAGATGTACAGATTATTTTTTTTTCATTTACGCACTTTCGTGCGCGCGTACTTTTTTCTTTAGAGTTTTCCTTTATCCTTTTTCGAGATATTTGTCGCACCAAACTCTTGACCGCTAATATTTTTCTGTCTCGTAAACTTGTCCGTTCAACGCGTTACTCGATTCTATAAATTTCCAATTTCACGTTGTCGTTTTTAAAATAGAGGACAGTCCGAGCTCTCCGAGCCCCATGCGGAAAATTAATTTCCAACGTTGAATAGAAATGCCGTCGGTCTCTCCGGTGATCGTTGCGACGTCGAATAATGCGCGTTTAAGTTTTCGTTCCTTATCGTCGCCGCTCTCATATGCGAACAATAGAGCGGATTTCTAGTTTCGCGGAAAATTACTTCCAGTAGCGTAGTGGAGCAAGACTTTCGGCGGTTTCGATAGACGGACGTTGAGGCAACGCGCGCCAGCAATTTACGCTTTCATCCTCGGAAGGTAGCTCACAATGCAGCCAGGGACTCGACTTCGCGGAAAATCAACTTCGACGTGTCGTCATCGTTATCGTCGAGCGGAGGGGCTTCATCGACGCGGAGAATCCGACCGATCGCGAATGAAACCAAAAAGGAACCAAAAGTCCTCTTGGGCACTTTTGGAGCTCGTCTCGCGCGTATTTTCGAACGTTCGTCGCGCCGAGCGGATCGACTATCCGCGACAGCGAATATCCCGACAATGAGGAGAGCGTGCGCTGGTGCGCGCGGATCCCCGGGTGTTCGGCGTTCCTGTACGTGCTTCCGGTTCCCCTACGCGCCGTTGCGTCCATTGTTCGACGTGGCCCGATACGTACATTGTGCAACGCCCGACGTTTTACCATTTGACGTACTCCACGCCCCGTGGCCCGCCACGTGCATCCTTAATGACGCTCCCCGCTCACCCCCTCGCCCACCCGCGGCACCTCCTCTCGCTCGCTCGCGCGCGTATCGATACGTCGTCGATACATACGTCTCTCGTCGCACGCATCACCGCCGACGTGGACGCTTCCGGCGGGCCTAAACCCGCCGCGGTCTCTCCGCGCGAGGCCGCGAGATCACGCCGCGTATTATTAACGCCCCGGGATCATTGCACGCAACGTTCTCCCGATCGCGTATGCCAGACCAGCGTCTCTTCGCGGAAGAAAAGGATCTGTTACTCGCGCGCGTGGAGTACAAATGCGCGGAATTAAGACGGAACGGACGTGAGGAAGATTCGCTGGACGACGATTTAAACGGCGATTTAAAAATTTATTACTCGAAATGTCAGATGATGTTTGTCCACACGCAATAAAGTGAAGTGACGTAATCGTCGGGATGATTTTTGATCGTGGACTAACCGCTTTTAATTTTTTTTATTTTTTTTTTTTTAGTAATTTTATTTATGATTTTTTTTATCAAACGTGTTGGTTTTTGGAGGATTTTATGACGATCGTATTATCTCGTCCAATTTTATATTTTTTATTATTCGTCACGTTTTTATTTATTTTATCGTGAAAATAATTTAAGAGAAAGATAGCCTTATTTCAGGTGGTATGAAAAAATAACTTGCTCGACGAAATGCGATTTATTTCAATTGGACAACACACGTATGTTTTTGAACTTTTCAGAAAGAATTCATCAAAAAATTATTTTATTTCCACTTTCCGAAATAGTCCTCGTTCCAGTTTATAAAAGAATATCGACAAAACTGACAAGGGACCGTACGAAAATAGTCCGTGTATATACAATACAGTCTGAGATTATATGATTTATCAATATTATTTCTATTATAAGCATTAATATGCTTGGAAATCTTGCTGGAACGCAAAGGCCGGAATCAATTTTTAATCCGGGTCATAGTCGACGCAATGCTATCTCGTTATCTCAGAATACCAGCAAGTGACAGATATCGATCTGCTTTGAATTAATAAGCCTGTCGCGATTTTAAGCCGACGATACAACAAACCGTTCGGGTTTTTGTTGCGTCACGAGCGATCCCGATGATATTCCAGACGGTAGTCGAATTATTATTAAACTTCAACGATTATCTATACCGATACGCCATTTATTGATAAAACTGGTCGATGTAAAATGAAAAATATACATAAAACCCATTCTTCCTACTTCCAAAATCACCATGACGATCGTTTCTTTTCAATTTTTTAAACGCAGAAAGTGTCATTAAAAAATTAGGCTTGAATCATCTAGAAAATGATAATAATTTAAAATAGTTTTAAATAGTTTCACGTGATGCAATAATATTATTGCACTCCGGCGAGATTATCGCGATACAATGCAGGTTTTTTCGGAGAATCATAAAAAATAACTTGGACATTGATACGACTACAGGTGTGATAAGCGCAAATCCACTTGTTGCTGATAATCTTAAAGTTTCTGCTACTATTATGTCAATAAAAAAATATTTATTACAAAAACAATAAATACGTGATACAGCTAAAATAATATTTATTAGAGAAATTCTTTAATACTACGTACTAGAGAAATTTCCAGATTTGGAAAAATTTTAGAAAAAAATCAGAAAAGAAATATAGAAAATCAGAAATACTTGAAGAGTATTCAAACTCGTTGGCAGGATTAAAAATGATAATATCGACGTTGACGTATCGAAAAATTCCAGAATTTTTAGAAAACTGGAACTCATATATTTGAATATTTATGATCTGCAACTCGAATCTACATTGGATATTCGTCTTTCGAGAAAATTTAATAATTTAAGAAATTTAATAATCTCGGGTACTTAAGGCTGCATAGAAAGTTTAAAAACTTTGAATTTCTTCGCTCTTTCTATAAATCATTCTTCTTCTTAGCGGAAAAGCGATTCGGAATAATCGTCGTATATCGACAAGGGAGTACAAAGAGGTGATATAGATAAAATATTAAGCAATCGATCAACAATCTTTAGACGATTTTCGTGCGCTTACCTCATTCGAAGGCTGATGAAAAGAAAAAGTCCAGAAGCCACTCCGGCCGCCAATAAACTCATGCTAGGTGAGAGGATCATATTTCTTCGATGATTTTCGTCCAACGGCTAGGAAGACACGAGAACGCAGTCTTCAGCGAGGACTTTCAGTGGAAGAAGTCTTCTTCTTTCGGACGAGTTTCTCTTAGCGTGAGAACGACGACCCTTTCAACACGAGGAAGTATTTCGATGTGACTGGAGTCACGATACGCACTTTAGTCGATCGCACTGTTGATCGCGCTTTTTGCGATATGATATGATATTACGATATACAATCGATGTCAATCATCCGACGTAGTGTGGAGTACGCGGGATGCTCATTCCGGAGCGATTAGCATCGACGTGCGAGCGAAGAACGCGTCTCGAAAGACCGTGTTACTTCACCTGATCTGCAATTTATCATCCGCGAATATTCATTGAAAATGAATCGCCTCGTAAAATATGTTCCGTCATAATTTATTCCTGTCAAATATTAAGCGTTCTTTCCATATTAAAACTCCATATTTTCCATATGAAAACTCTTTGCAATTTGAATTGAACTCTCAACGTAACGCTTTACAATAATCACTCGCGTTTTTCTCCAAGCCCATTCAAATCAGCTTTTTTCTATAATTTAGTAAAAAATAAAAATTAACATCTATTTTATTCATTCAAGAAAATCTAGATTGAATCTCTTGAATAGTCATACATTTGATTGCTAGGACGCACCTCATGGGCTTTATACGCGAATGAAATTGAATGCAGAATGCAGATATCGCGACAACATGTTCTTACTCTTGATAATTAAATGTACGCATCTATTTTTAAAGAACGATATACCATTCGATTCTTATTGATTTCCCGTGACCTTTGATACTGAATTAGCACTCATTAAATATATCCTCTTCCGATATCAACATTAGCCGAGTTCAAGAATCCACGCTGCTTGAAAGATTAGAAAATTGAAATACTTAAAAAATTAAAAGGTCAAAAGATCAAGCTTAGAATGATTTTACACTCCTCGATTTATAAATATTTTAATGTTATTTTGCTTACAATTATAAATATCTTATTTATAGATCTTACACTTTGAGAACAGCGGAGAGAGCAAAAGCGAGATAAAATATTTTGGATTATACTGTTCTATTACTTATAGTATTACTATATAGTTGTATCCCTGTATTTATGTAATTGCGAGAATTTTTTCCGGTTTTACCACAAGTCCTGGAAAAGTCACAATCCGAACTCACTTCTCTATCCCTAAAACGTATTTCATACACACATACACACATATATACAATATACTATATATATATATATATATATTTATATTTATATATATTACACACACACACACACACACACACACACACACACACACACACACACACACACACACACACACACACATATCTCTTTCAATTCACGACGTAGTACTTCGCACTTTATCCGCGAGGTCTTTCTCGCGTGATTTATCTCTCCCGCGAGGGAAAGGAAAGATCGTTCTCTCTGTCTCAGAGACACACGCAGTGTCGCTCTCTTCCCCGCGTGAAATTTCGCAAGCGTTGCATCCGCGTATCTCCTCGCTCGTGCGGAACCGTCCCGTGCTCGCGATAAGGCCCGACTGAGACTAATTGTAAGTTCTTACGGTGCCGCGAACGGTCGCACCAATGACTTGGGAGAGCTCGTTTTCCTCGGCTCACACAATGCGCGACAATTGCTTCATCGTGACGCGGGAAGCACGTGAGTTTCAGTGACGCGTTTCCATCTGTCGAGTTTCCTTAACGCCGCCGCCGTTTCGTGAGCCTAAACACGTTATTCTTGTGCTAATTGTGATCTCCAATCCGTCAGCCGCCGATGTGCAGAGACGCACCTTCGTACACGTATTTCCCCGTAAAAGAGAGCAACGGAAGGAGAAAGAAAAAAAAATGAAATGAGGCAAAGAGATTGAATAAAAAAGAGGAATTTTCTAATTTTCGATTTTTTAATAATTTAATGTAAAAATACGTCTTGTTCATTAGTGCATATCAATTCCTTCCATTAGATGCAGTTAAATATTGAACTATTCAACTATTCGTTATCTAGGAATTTATTACTCTGATATTAAATATCATGATATTAAGCATGTCGAACGTGTTCTCATACTTCAATACGTGAAATTTTACATTTTGAATAAACATAATTTCTGGAGCGCCAAATTTGATCACATTATTTTTGGCACATTAAACTAATGATATATGTTGATGTATATGTTGTTAATTTAAAGTAGCTATAGATATAACAAAGGGAAAAATTTTTTTTAACTTCTTAAATTATTGTCATTAAAATTATTTCGCTATATTTTTGTTTAAATGTTGTTTTAAGACAGAAATGCGCAGTTGTTACATCGCATCTCAAGTTGTTGACGTGAGAATGAATAAACGAGTCGTAGATTCATTTGCTAATGACAGAGATATTGTCGCCATTCTATGTCACTTTACTTTTCTCGGTATTTGATAATATTTGTATCATCAGTTGAAATACAAAAGCGCTGTTGATGGCATTATCATAAAGTATTATATCATTGTATATAAGTATCATATTATCGTATTAGTTTACTCATATTAAAGAGCATGAATTCACATAATATAGCATGCACACAATATAGCATGTTATCTTTGGCTAATTAATTGAATGTTTAGCTAATTATTTATGCAGTGTCTCAATATAATTTGTTTCTTTGTTAATAGATTTTAATAACTTGTATACATATATATATATATATATATATATATATATATATATATATATATATATATATATATAATTATACT